AAGTGTTTTTATTGATTTACTTGATTGGGAGTGCAGCTGCCCCTCGTGCCCTTCCCTCAGCTCCACCCATGCCTGCTCATTCTGGATGCATGTAGCACTCTTGCTGCACACTGTCCCTCCCCTGAATTCCAGCACAAGGACATAATCCTAATAAGGCCAAACCCCCAGCAATAAGAAAGATCTACTACATGCAGCATTGAACTGGCACAGCTAGCAGATGCCAGATATTCCACTGCGGTATCACCAATAATGAGAATGATATTAAAAGTGCCACCCAGAGGGGCAGCTGTTTCCCCTACACCTCCAAGAGGTGGCAGGTCATGCTTAATTCTCCCCACTTTTCTGTTTCCTCGTGGAGAAGGCAGCATCACCATTTCAGCTCTGCTAGTGCCTGATGAGCCATGAGGGACACCTGTCGGCTGGTGATGGGACCACTGACAGCAACAGAAACCTACTCTTCTTTCTGTATGCACTGGATGCATGATAGCAGGTTCAGCACCAGATTTTAAAAGCACCACATTGTGGGCTCTAATATTTGACCCTCCTTGCAAGACTTTAATTGAGCCCATTAAACCTCCCTTTCCTTAAATTCCCTACCTGCTTTCTGGCACTGCACAGGACCATGAAAATGGAAAAAATTGGAGCATTCTTTCCTCCAAACATCATCTGCTGAGATGATGAGAATGTAAGAAGTGCCAGGATCAGGCCAGAGCAGAACATCTAGACCAGCATCCTGTTCTCTCAGTGGCCACCCAGGCGACTCCAATGAGCAGTACATGAGCACAAGAGCAACTCTCTCCCTTCCTGTGGTTTCCAGCAACTGGTATTCTGAAGCATTGCTGCCTCCAACTGTGGAGGCAGAGGAGAGCCGTCATGGCTAGTAGCCATCAATAGCCCTCTTCTCTTCCATGAATATATCCAATCCTCTTTTAAAGCCACCCAGGTTGGCAGTCATCAGCCTCCTGTGGGAGGAATTTTCAGAGTTTAACTATGTGCTGATTAAACAGCATTTACAGCCTTCAGAGACAAATGAGGCTACTCTGTTCTGCTGAGGGAAAGGCAACAATTACCATTGCCTAGCCTTGATCCTGAAAGATGCTGTCTCTGCAAAAAAGAGTCACTGGTAGCCTTAGGAAGGCTGGCAAGGCCTCAGCCTCTCTTTCCAGTGCTTCCACTCACCTGGGAGGGAGGTCTGCAAATCTTAAAGGCCTTGTGGCCTTGTGCAGTTGCCTGCCTGCTGAGGAACAGAAGGAGCTACCCAGGAATCAGAGCTTGAGACGTGTCCTCATGCCAAGATGGTGCAGAAGAGGCAATCATGAACAGCTCCTCCAAGCCTGAAGTGGGATGAATCTGACTCCTCCTTGGGGGTGACACTGGGATCAGAAAGCAAAGATATGTTGGGGACATGGAACAAACTGGTGCAGCACAAGGTTCCTTCTGACACCTCCCTCCTGGACGCAGGTGATGCTGCTTTGGTTGAATAAGCATCAACACTCCATCTGGTTGCTGGATGTAGAGGGATGCTGCTGCACTCACAGGTGACTATGGATGTGAGGAAGGAGAGATTTCCATCCTATGCACTGCAACCAGTACTGTTTCCATTCCGCTGCAATTCAGCTACCCCTAAACCCTATGTTATTCATCTTGCTATCTGTTATGACTGAAAGTAACATATTCAGTTTTCAGTGCATTTCAACGGAAGGGTAACATTAAAAATAAAGCAGAAAAATTATAAAATTATTTACTATAGTGAATGCATGATTTATGTTCTTCATCTCAAACTAACATTGGGATTGTGACAACTTGCACTCCCATTTCTGGTGTCCGACAAAATTCTCTCAGCATTCCTACAGGTGGCAAACAATTATTAAACCAGGAAAGAAAAAGGTTTTAAACACAAGAAATGGGGTGAGGGTTTAAAAAAAGTCAGAAATTATCTGAAATTAAAGTTATCTCATTAGTGAGACTGGCAAATGGATTAGTGGAGAAGAAAATTAAAAAGATGCCTTGAAGAAACTAGCACCTGCATTACAGGCACCTATTAAATACCAAAAGCTATTAGTTCTGTGAAATTATTTGTTGCTTCTGAATGTGTGTGTAAAAGCCTTTTTGGAATATTTAACAGAGAAAATGAAGGATATTGTAGTTGTAATAATTACTGGCACACAGTCTGTTCTGAGATCAAGGAATAGCTTTAGATAAATGTGTACCTGACAAGCAGCAGTTCAGATATAGCAATGTTCCATAAAAGGGTTTAATTATCAGTTGTGATGGTTAAGGCTGCTTCTATCATCATGAAAACAAAAAGCTTTTAGGAAAAATTGCAATGTTTGAAAGGAACAGGAACAGGAAAGACAGGAAAGACATTGAAGTGGCCTGATGTGCTGATCCAAGTAAACTACGGGGCATCTCTTGAAAATGCACTTTTGGCAAATGAACTCTTGGCATGGCTAACACCTCAGAAGAGCCCATTCTTGGTTTCTGCCTTGGATTCCCAAGTTCTTCATTTTCTTTTTTGGGCAAGTACCATTCTTTTTCACTTTCCTACAGTGCCCTTCATTTTGTTATAGGGCATTGTGGGAAATTACTACACCCAAATGCCCAGCACTGGCCATAGCAAACAGGTATGGATGTATATTCAAAGGGTGTCCTTGGCTTCTCATCTCTGACACCAGAAAGAACATCAGGATATAATTGGCCTAGAACAAAGTTCCATCTACCCAGCATTTGGCCTCCAGTGGTGGCCAACAAGATGCCTCTGGGATGCTCAAAACCAGGAATGGTGATCAGAGGCCCATATTCTCTGAACATGGAAGTTTCATTCTCAGCTGTGATGGCTAACAAGAGGAACCTGCAACTTCTTCATCTTTGGCAATCACTTGTAGCCAAGTAAGATTGTTTTCCATAAACACGATTTTAACAATGAGTCTGTAAGTGACTGTGGAGGCCAATTCTGGATCCACACGTCCTTCCACCAGACATTGGTTCCATCACGGTGTGGATTTGCCAAGCGTGCCTTCCTCTTAATACATTTCTCCCTTGCGTCCTGAGTTCGAGTGTCTTCAAAGCCCATGCCACCTTTGGTAAAGGCTATTCTCCAATTGGAGTGCTCGCAGGCAAGTGTTTCCCAATTGTTGGTGTTTATACTCCATTTTTAAAAATATGCCTTGAGACAGTCCTTAAACCTCTTTTGTTGACCACCAGCATTACGCTTTCCATTTTTAAGTTCAGAATAGAGTAGCTGCTTGGAAGACGTCCACATAACATGACCAGTCCAACCAGTGCTTCAACACTGGTGATCTTTGCTTCTTCCAGTACACTGGTATTAGTTCGCCTGTCTTCCCAAGTGATGTGTAAAAAAATTTGGAGACACCACTGATAAATCTTTCGAGGAATTGGAGATGGCGTTTATAAGTGGTCCACGTTTCACAAGCATATAGTAAGGTTGGTACTACAAACAAGCATTTTGGTTTCCCGGCGAATGTCCTGGTCCTTAAACACTCTGCCTTTCAATCGGGAGAAACCCTCACTCACAGAGCTCAGGTGATGCTGGATTTCAGCATCAGTGTCGGCCCTTATGGAAAGATAACTGTCCAGGTAGGAGAAGCGATCAACATTTTCCAACGTTACACCACTGGGTTTGTGGTGCTGCAGAGGGGTTAATTTGTACTTGTTGGTGCAGCACTGTGGTTTTTTGGATGCTGACTAATAGGCTAAGCTTTTCGTAATCTTATGAGAAGATATTTAGGATGGTTTGGAGGTCATCCACTGAGTGTGTGCACACTAAGTTGTCATCAGCATACTGAAGCTCTACGACGGAAGTTACGGTAACCTTGCTCTTTGCTTTCAGCCTGCTCAGATTAAAGAGCTTTCCATCTGTTTGATATATGATTTCTACTCTGGTGCGGAGTTTCCCTTTGACAAATTGTAGGATCATGGCAATGAAAAAGAATGAATAGAGTTGGGGAGATAACACAACTCTGTTTAACACCTGATCCCACTGTGAATGGTTCACTTTGAGAGCCATTGTTATCTGCAATTATTGCTGTCATATTATCATGGAGGAGCCAAATGATGTTCACAAATTTATTTGGGCAGCCAATTTTCAGAAGGAGAGTCCACAGGGCATTACGAGACCTTAGTCAGGTCAGTAACCAGGGGTTGGTTTTGCTCTCTGAATTTTTCTTGAAGCTGTCGAGTGGTGAAAATCAAGTCCACTGTCCCCCTAGAAGGCCGGAAACCATTTTGGGATTCAGGAAGGGTCACATTGGATATTGTTAAGAGATGGTTTGCTAAGATCCTTGCAAGAATTTTGCCGGCCGCAACTAATAGAGAGATGCCTCGATAGTTTCCACAATCAGTTCTGTCACCTTTTTTAAAGAGATTGATAATTTTGGCATCCCTAAATTCACATTCCACTCTGTGTGTGTTTGTGCATAGATGTTTTCTTTGTCTTCTACTCCAGCGCAGTGGCTTGTAACATCCTGAATGCTGGGCTGGTAGTGGACTTGCCATCAATGGCTACCAAGCCTGGAGGCTATGCTTGGCCTCCCCTGTCACATCCAGAATGCTGTTTATAGTTCCACTTACCACACCCAAAAAGGCTGTACTAGAGCTGGAAAAGGTGCAGAAAAGTGCAGCCAGAAGGATTAAGGGGATGGATCAGCTGTCCTGTGGGTTTCCCCAGTCACTCTGGGCAGCTCCCAATCAAATATTAAAAACATAATACAGCATTAAACATTTAAAACATCCCTAAATAGGGCTGCCTTCAGATGTCTTTTAAAAGTAGGATAGTTGCTTATTTCCTTGACATCTGATGGGACATCTGATGCCTGTTTCTCTGTAACCTCACTTCTCGCAGTGAGGGAACCACCAGAAGGCTCTTGGCACTGGATCACAAAGTCCGGACTAAACGATGGGGGTAGAGATACTCCTTCAGGTATACAGGACTGAGGCCATCTAGGGCTTTAAAGGTCAGCACCAACACTTTGAATTGTGTTGGGAAGTGAAGGTCCTGCATGAGTGTCTGGAGGTGGTTGGAGGATGGATGACCCGGGAGCCAATGCAGGTCTATATGGTTATATGGTCCCGGCGGCCATCCATCCTCCAACTGCCTCCAGACACTCAGGCAGGACCTTCACTTCCCTCATTGGTTCTGATTTAAAAGAGAGGTAGAGCTGGGTATCATCCACATATTGATGAACACCCAGCCTAAACCCCCTGATGATCTCTCCCAGTGGATTCACGTAGATGTTAAAAAGCATAGGCAAGAGGACGGAACCCTGAGGCACCCCACAAGTGAGAGCCAAACACCACTTTCTGGACACGGCCCAGGAGAAAGGAGAGGAACAGTGCCCCCAGCTCCCAGCCCCTCTAGACGGTCCAGAAGGATGTTATGGTTGATGGTATCAAAGGCCGCTGAGAGATCCAGCAGAACCAGGAAACCACTTTTACCTTTGTCCCTGGCCTGCTGGAGATCATCGACCAGTGCAACTAAGACAGTTTCAGTCCCATGATGAGGCCTGAATCCCGATTGGAAGGGATCCAATGGGTCCACATCTTCCAGGCATGCCTGGAGTTGTTCAGCAACCACCCGCTCAATCACCTTGCCCAAGAATGGAAGATTTAAGACTGGGCGATAGTTGGCCATATTGGCTGGGTCTAAAGATTTTTTTTTAAGAAGCAGTTTAATGACTGCCTCTTTCAGTGGGTCTAGGAAGGCTCCCTCACAGAGGGAAGCATTCACCACCCCAGAGACCATCGCCCAGCCCTTCCTGGATCACTTTTATTAGCCAGGGTGGGCAAGGATCAAGTAGATAGGTGGTCTGTTTCACTCGTCCAAGCAGCCTGTCTACATCCTCAAAGGTAACAGATTGGAATTGATCCCATGCAACAAGACTAGACAGGACTCTAGCACTCTCCACCAGGGAATCAGCTGAAAGACCATCAACGTGGGATAAAACATCCCCTACCATTCTCTGGAAACCATTTGGATCTATTAAGTGGCAGGGGTGGACCATCTGAATCAGCCCCACCTCCCTGCAGAAGGGAAGGGTCACGGAGAAGTCCAGTTGCACCAATCAGTTGAATCTCAGTAAAATATTGACTCAATGAGAAGAGGTGACCAGCTATATAGATTGCCTCACTTCCCTGAACACGCAGATGAGAACGGGGGTGGGGGTGGGGAGACAGGGAGTGTTTTCTTTTTAAATTAAACATATCATTTTAACTTTGGCCTCCTGCTCCTGTCAAAGAAATCCAGGTTACAATGAACCTAAAGATGTTACTGAACTAAACTTACATCAGCTCCAGCAAGGGGGTCCTATGGCCCAGTGGTCCTGTGTGTAGATCCATCCCTCAGGGCTTTTCCCAGACGACAACCCACACCAGTCCCACTTTGCACCTCCTTAAGAATAGTTCCACTCACATTTGCCAGAAGGGAATGTGGTTCTGGGACTGAAAAATATAAATGCAAATTCAGGTGTCTGGACAAATTAACTTTGTGGGCAACTGATGTCACACCGTCCCTGCATTTTTCAAGGGTCTTAGCAGCTCTGAAAGCAAGATAGTAGTTGTTTACATTAAATTTAAAAGGGTGGTGTAATGATTTCCAGGCAGGCTTTCAAGCCCAGGTAAGAATTAACGAGTCTCTGGCAGTTTTTTTAATGGTTTCATTCATTCACAATACAATCAGAGCACACTACAGCCCTCTGCTCCATAGATATCAGTTGGTCACTCTGAGAAATCATTTGTGTCACAACAGGAAAGACACCAACGTCCCGCCTTTCCCCTTTGGCACTTCTGTTGCAATCTGGCCTTTTCAGCTCTTCAGACTTGAGTAGAGGGAGGGGGGGATCTACACTGTCCGAGGCAGAAGGTGCGGGGGGGGTGGTCCGCCCCAGGTGTGACAAAATGGCGGGCGGCACTCATCACCACAGGGCCTGCAGCGCGCACAAGCCACACATCTCGGCACCCGCAGGCTCCGCACTGTCCGCCTGCTGCCTCCCCCCCAGCTGTAGGGCGGCTGAGGCATTGCTGCACACCCTGTCCCTATGGGTGCCACGCGCCCCATCTCATCCCTATGTGCAGCACCCATAGGATGGCACAGCACAGGTTGCGTGATGTCCATAGGGATGGGGTGTGCTGTGGCGCCCATAGGAATGGCACGGAATGCTGCGTGCCCCGCCCCTATGGGCACCACACCCTGCCCCTATGGACGGTTCACCCCACCCCTATGGGCAGTTTGCCCGAGAGCCTTCCTCCGCCACTGGTCCAAGGATGACCTCTCAGTCCTCTGCCTATCTAATTGTTGCTTGGTAACCCCTCCAGTGCTATCTATCTCTTCCCCTCCCTCATCTTGCGAGCTTTCTGTGTCTCCTCTAACTAACTCAGTGAACTCTTGGAGAAGGGAGGCCAGGCCCACTTCCTCCTGCTCTAATTGCAGGCTGTCATATTCAGAGTCAGACCCTGTTTCTCTCCCATCTCCTTTGTTACATGGCTCGGCTATGCTCCTGACAGGTGGAAAGGTGCAAAATATCTGCAGCTCAGCACAAAGGACCAGGACTCCAGCACTCTCCCGCCCCGCCCCTACTCCTACGGTGGAGTCTACCTCCTTCCAAATCTGAGCGACTTTATCTGCAAAAAAACCCTTAGAGGCAGTGAAGAAGGTCCTCTTCGCCATCACCACTTCGTAGGCTCGATGTTGAGCTCTAACCCATGTCTGGGCAGATTCAGAATGAGTTTTCCGCCACCGGTGCTCTAGCCGTCTCAACTATTGTTTCATCGCCCTCAGCTCCTGGGAAAACCATGGGGCTGTCCAGGCTCCATGCAATCAGAGAAGGCTCTTTGGAGCCAGAGAGTCCTGGTTAACTCCGCATTCCAACAAGTCACTAGCGAATCAGCTGAAAGGCCATCAGCATGGGATAAAACATCTCCTACCACTCTCTGGAAACCATTTGGATCCATTAATTGGTGGGGAAGGACCATCCAAATCGGTCCCGCTTCCCTGCAGAGAGGAAGGGTTACAGAAAACTCCAGTTGCACCAGGAAGTGATCTGATCATGGCACTTCTTTTGTTTCACTTTTACTTAGTGTCAGATTACCAACATCCATAGAGGTGAATACCAGGTCTAAGGCATGTCCGTGGCTATGAGTTGGGCCAAACTTATTCAGGGACATGTGGACAAAATGGATTGTTTCAAGAGGTGGCAGAAATATATTTCTAAATTTGTCTGGCAGGGCAAGAAGCCCAGAATAAAATTTAAAATTCTAACGGATGCAAAGGAAAGAGGCGGATTTGCCCTGACAGACCTCAAACTTTACTATGAATCAGCAGCTTTTTGCTGGTTGAAAGAATGGCTACTTCTTGAAAACACTGACATTTTGGACTTGGAAGGTTTTAACAATGTATTTGGATGGCATGCATATTTATGGTATGATAAGGTCAAAGCACATAAAGCATTTAGAAACCAGATTGTCAGGAAAGCTCTATTCAATGTTTGGATAAGATATAAGGATTTGCTAGAAAACAAAACCCCAAGGTGGCTGTCACCAATGGAAGCGAAAGCCTTGAAAAAGCTCAATATGGAGGTCAAATGGCCGAAATATTGGGAAATTTTGGAACAAGACGGAGATAGACTGAAATTGCAGAGTTTTGAAAAATTAAAAAACAAAGTGCGAGACTGGCTTCATTATTTTCAGATAATGGAGGCATTTAAATTGGACAAGAAAATTGGCTTCCAGGTGGAAAGATCAAAATTAGAAACAGAACTGTTAGAACCCAAAACTAAGAATTTGTCAAGAATGTATAACTTGCTGCTGAAATGGAATACTCAGGATGAAACGGTAAAATCGACTATGATTAAATGGGCACAGGACGTTGGACACAACATTATGTTTGCTGACTGGGAACAGTTGTGGACCACAGGTATGAAATTTATGGCATGTAATGCCTTAAGAGAGAATATTATGAAAATGATATACAGGTGGTACATAACCCCAGTCAAGCTTGCAAAAATCTATCATTTGCCCGATAACAAATGTTGGAAATGTAAAGAAACTGAAGGTACATTTTTTCACCTTTGGTGGACGTGCCCAAAGATTAAGGCTTTCTGGGAAATGATATATAATGAATTAAAAAAGGTATTTAAATATACCTTCCCTAAGAAACCAGAGGCCTTTCTCCTGGGCATAGTCGGCCAAATGGTGTTAAAAAAGGATAGAACTTTCTTTATGTATGCAACAACAGCAGCAAGAATACTCATCGCAAAGTATTGGAAGACACAAGAACTTCCCACGCTGGAGGAATGGCAGATGAAACTGATGGACTATATGGAACTGGCGGAAATGACTGGCAGAATCCGTGACCAGGGAGAAGAGTCGGTGGAGGAAGATTGGAAGAAATTCAAAGATTATCTTCAGAAACACTGCAAAATTAAAGAATGTTAGAGTGATGTTGGATCGAAAATAAGTGGTTTCCAGCTGTACAGGTTAAAGTTATTGATAGACTAAGATTAAAGATTAGGATTAAAGATGTTTAAGGAAATGGAAATTTGGTATTTAAGAGGTAAAATTTTAATGCTATATTACATTAAGATTAAAGATTAGGATTAAAGAAGTTTAAGTGTTATATTAAGATTAAAGATTGGGATTAAAAAAGTGGAAAAGAAATTGCTGGACAAACAATTTGGACTGGAATACAAAAGAGGGAGGTATGAGGAAGTCCAGAAAATAAGTAAATTCAAAAACGGAAATGGAAAAGTGATATTGTTTTTAATTGTTCTGTTGTTGTTTTTTTTGTATTTTGTTTTCTGTGTTTTCCTTCTCTTTTTGGATTATGTATTGTGTATTTGTGTACTTCTATTTTTATGTTTTTCTGTCTAACTTTTTATTGAAACCTTAATAAAAATCATTTTTTTAAAAAAAAACTTATTCAGGGACAGCCCCATGGAGGCCATGCTTTCCATGAAGTCCCAAGCGGTCCCTTGTAAGTTTGTGTCAACATGGATGTTAAAATCCCCTAGGACAACCAAACTAGGTGTCTCCAGCAGCACATTTGCAATGACCTGAAGCAGCTCAGGCAGGGAATCCTTCGTGCAGTGGGGAGGTCGGTACACCAAAAGGAATCCTGTACTGCCCCTATTGCCC